GATAATTGGTATGAGAGCCTTTTGTTATGGGTGAATCTCGTTCTCTATAATAGCAATTTGAATACTTGCTAAAAATGAATCAAGAGGATAGGGCTAAAGATTGTGCCAAAATAGTTTAGAATAGGTTAGAAGGTGCTAATGACTGGGTTGGTCAAGACACAAAACACCAAGCTGCAATGTAGTTTGAGGCACTTACCAGTGATTTTAATGACCAGGTAGGACCATGCTGTGACAATTGCGATTAGGGGAGAAGGGAGTGCCACTAGCAGGCTCCTTGAATGTTGCCCAGAACCAATGGAGGTGGGTCTTTTTGTTCCCCAACACTCCAAATTGGATTTTCCCCCTTACGATGGATCCATGGACCCTATAGGAGCTCTAAGCTGATGTAACCACTTATTTCTGGCATTAATGGAACGACTCATTGCTCTTGCCTTATACCTCCTTGAAGGCGGCACCTAATATTGGTTTTCAAAAGCACCTAATACTGTTTTTTAAAACTAGAAATTGATTGCTCGAATTTATCATGGAGGAATCCAAAAATTATTATTACATGAATTCCAGCCTGCTGTCCAAAAAATAAATAAATTTGGTAAATCGGCGTAATTGCAATACAGTGGTTTCTCGGCCGATTATCAGCAATAATTTGAACAATTGGCACCATGTGTGGGTATTTGGAGTATGGCTCAGGAAGTTGAATTATTTATTAGTGGCCTTCAAGATTATATTACATTGGAAGTCAAGCTTCAATAGCTGTGTGATCTGATTGGAGCCGTGGTGCTTGTGTGCCTTTATGGGTGATGAGAATAGTGGTGGGTCAAACCGTGCAGGCACTCCGTGCGGAGGTCTGTCTAGAGTGCAAAAAGATTGCTCTGTCAAGTTCATGAACCTCTGCTCCTTTTGTGCAAGGTTTTTGTCCACCTATTGGTGGATCTGCACAGCCACATTCTTAGCATTCTGCTGGCTTTTTTCTGTCTATCCTAGGCAAGGATGGAAGAAAATGATCAGATCTTTTGTAAACCCACATAAGTGGGTGGCACCCCCTTGGTGACTATTAATATTAAATTTCTCCTTTTTTCTAAAAGAAATTAATGTTTGGTTAGTAGTTTCTCTTTGAGCAAAATGACTTGATTCTTTTCAGGTATGCCCCAGCAACTCAACTTTGGAGAGGCAGGCTCCACGTAATGGGTGGTAGCAAGGAGAATCGTCATACACCTGGACTAGAGCATTGGAGCATTGCTGTTAAGGATGGCAAAGTATTGGAAAAGGAGTGGAGAAATGAAATTCCTATTCCACGTGGAGGACCTCACAGGTTTGTGGACTATGTTATACTTTGTAAGTTGATAATTTACAGATATTGCACTGAATATGAGAATCTTACTGCATTTTTTTAATTTGAAAATGATAAAATCACAAGTTTATTGTAGCAAGATTTAAGTTTTTGATTACAATCATATTTTGTGTGATTAGTAGTGGCAGATATTGAGACTTTCCAGCAGAGAAAACCTAGAATGATAGTCTGCAGTTGATTTGTAGAACTATGTTTTGCTTTTAGTGCTATTTTGGGTGGCATCTTCTGGAAATGCTTATGAAAAAGTGGGAAACTTTTTTAACACTGTTTCAAGATCTCTTCTGGTAAATGAAACAGGCATCTTCAGGTGTGTTTCTAGCTTGCAGATCTCATCTTCATTTTGTTTTATTTTTTTTCAATGTAGGGCCTGTGTTGTGGCTAATGATCGCCTTTTTGTTATTGGTGGTCAAGAAGGTGATTTCATGGCCAAACCTGGATCACCGATCTTCAAGTGCTCCCGTAGGAATGAGGTTAGTTTAGTAGCGTATTTGGCATAGATGATTTTAGTGATTCGTGCATCCTTCTCTGTTGGCTATTTTAGTCAGTCTTCAGATAATATTTTCCTACAAAAAGAGGTTCCAAAGGGGAGTAGGCTTAATAGTGGGTTCAACATTTTCACTTGAAATTCAACTGAACATTTATTAGCTCCATATTTAGAGTTTAGGCATTATAATTTGCTTTAACTGTTAAACAATTTTCAATTACTAATGTTAAATTTTCTAGTTCTTCTGCTTTGACATTCAATAAGTTTTCCTTCAATATTTGATCATAAGGTTTAAGAGAAGATAGTGTTGTAATGACAGAGATAATGATCATCATTCCATTCCTTTACTGTAACAGTATCCTCATTAATTTTGTTACAGTTGTACCAGAACTTAAAGGAATTCTTGGTTAAGGATCAGTAGCAACACAAAATAGCTTCAATTGCTTTAAAAGAAATTCCATCTTCTGTTCTTCTGTTCCCAGGGTGGTGTTGACCATTGAAGCAATCAGTTTCTGGAGCTATGAAACCAACAGTAGCAAAAGCAGTTTAGGAACAGAAATAGCATCAAATTGTTAAAGGACTGGTGTGAAAATAGTCTCAAACTGGTTGAGAGGCAGATGACTCTTTAAGATAGTCAGATGCTCCCATTGTGCAAAGAAATTAGCAACACTATCTCTAATATTCAACTTAGATTGGTTTACTTCCATTCCCTACAGTGTTTACTAATCTATAGGAACTGAATACTTTGATGCTGAACCCAGGATCAATGATCTAATCCAGAATTCACATAATGCTCATTAAGACAGCAAAGACTTAAATTCTATAAAATTCCTTCCTACTTAACCCGCTATCAATGAGATTCAGACTTGACAGGTATCATAGGGTGGGAGGGAAAATTTTATTCTCTTTTCTCCTTAACTACCTTGTAGGTTATTTGGAAAAAGAGGAACAGAAGTATTTTTGGAGATGAAACTTTTTCCAGGTAGAGTTAGAGATTTCTAGTTCCGGATACTTTTTATTTACAGGTATTCTCTTACATCTAGCAAGGACCTTGAAGACCTTACTGCCATTTTGATTAACTCGTAAACTCTGCTTCTTTAGTCCCTTTGGTGTTGTGTTAGTATACCTACTTTTTTCCTCTGAAAAAACAGAAGAAATTGCAGTTGGGGGGGGGGTTGGGGGTTGGGGGGCTTTGGCGGTGCAGGGGCAGAGGGAATGAGGGCAAAGGAGACAACTCTTTATTTGCTATTTTATCTTTAATTGTCTAAATTTATTTATAAAGGGCACAAATGGATAAAATTTTATGATTAATCATTTTTTCCTTCTCATGCCTGAAATGAATAAAATATTACCACAATTGGTTTCTCTTTTATGGTCTCTAAATTTTCGGTTAGTCAAATAAGTAAAACATCTTTGCCTTAATCTATTTAAAACTCCTCTCTTCTTTTCTTTCCTTTTCCTTCATTACTTTGTTTTTTAAATCCAAATATCGTGTTAGGTTCCTTCTACTCTTTTCTTATTCTTTTTCAAATGAATTCAGGTGGTTTATGGTGATGTTTACATGCTGGATGACGACATGAAATGGAAAGTTCTACCTTCTATGCCAAAGCCAGATTCCCATATTGAATTTGCTTGGGTGCTGGTTAACAATTCCATTGTGATTGTTGGAGGCACTACAGAGAAGCACCCTATAACTAAAAAGATGGTTCTGGTTGGGGAGATTTTTCAATTCAACTTGGACACTCTGGTATGGGCTTCTACATACTTATAAGAAAGTTGATGAATGTTCTTCTAAAAAAAATTATGAATGTGATGTAGTTATGCATGTTTTAATTGAATGTCCATGCAAATCCACGCCGAAAAATTCACCCACGTGAGTGGTTATGCTGATTACTGCTGCTTATGAGGTTGTTATTTCATTATCTCAGGCTACATTTTAATAGGAAGAATTCGAAGGGGAATGAAAGAAGTGATGAAAGTACTCTCCCATGTTTGCGAGTTCATTAAATGGAGGAATTTTTTGTCCTCCTTTCTCTTCCATTTTTATGCATTGACTTCTCTAATTTAGGATAGAATGGAAGGAATAATTTTTTTTTTTGAGATAAGAAAGTAAGAAAATTAAATTGTAACTGCTAATTGCAAAGATAAAACTAGTCATTATATTTGTGAATACCAAAAACAGAATACTGTTTCTGAGAACTCCGTTAGGGTGTGAAAGATTATTCCTTGTTACTTGTTTTCTCTCATTTTTAATAAAACTTAAAAGGGGGACAAGAAATATGAATCTTTTCTTTTTCTACCCTTATCCACTCCATTTCTTTCCTTTTCTTTTTGTTTGGAACTTCCAAACATACTCTTGAGGTTCTCATTATGGTTATTAGACCTTACGAACTTATAACAGTATTGAGCTGAAGTGGTCTGATGTCCAGCGAATTTCTTACATATTGTTTACGGTATTCCTGCCCTTTTGTTTTTGGTAGTTTTGGCTGCAGCTATCTCGATTTTGATTCATGAATGTTTGCAGAAATGGTCAGTGATTGGGAAACTTCCCTACCGCGTAAAAACGACACTGGTTGGATATTGGGAGGGATGGTTATACTTCACATCGGGACAGCGAGATAAAGGACCGGATAATCCGGCACCAAGGAAGGTCATTGGTGACTTGTGGAGAACCAAGCTGAAACTAAAATGATTGAAATTTTAGAATTTGATGGTAGGATAGTTTCCGCCACCTGAACAAATTCATATTGTTATGAAATTTAAGACTTACATCTCTTTTCTTGTTGTATTTTATGGACTGCATTTCTTTAGGTTTCATATTCTTTTCCACTTATATCTGGTGTAAAGGGGGTGTAGAATTGGGAATCCCCCACTTCAATCAGTTTTGTGTAACATTCAGTGTATATCTATTGACCGGAAAGATTAAATGTAAATGTATTTGAGTTATACCCAACCCTTAATTCTGTCCAAACCAATTTTGCTTTGAGTTATAATGATTATTATTATTATATTAATGCAAACACTTGCTATTTATATTCTTATAAAATTTAAAGAAAAATAGAGATTAAAAGATTTTGTGTTATTTAAATAATATTTTTACATTTAAAAAAAAACAAATAAATATCAATTACATTAAATGTTTTTAGTATTATTTATATTTTATTTTCATATTTAAAAAATTCAAGTAGATTATACATTCAAACAAAAATGTAAAAGAATTTGAACTCTTACTGAATACAGCAGTATAATTAATATATAATTGTATCTTTATAGTCAAAAATTTTATTTAAAAAAAAAACAAACAAACGTTCTATATATATATATATAATAAATAATATATTAGAGAAATCATTTAATTCAATACCATCCTACTATATTCTCACAATATTTTCAAAATTAATATTATTAAAAAATAAAAATAATATACATATTTTCCAAAAAATTTACAGAAAACTTAAATTGGTAGCATAAATTTCTATTAGGTCTGATTGTTTCTGAACTATATAATTACAACTTGGTGTATTATATTTTTTAAAATAATAATAAAGTAATATTTTTTTCTAAATAAAATGTCCGTTATATTTATTAATTAATTTACGGCTCATTTCTCATACATATTTAATTTAGATATCATTTAATATCTATTTTAAAAACTGAATTGAAATTGACAACTATGTTTTTCAAGAACTAGGTTGTCATTAATATATATATATTATATCTATATCAGTCGTCATTATCTTGAAATTTACTTTTTCATTACTAACAATAAACCTTTTTTAACAGAATCTTTTTACTCACCACAACCACCAAATTACCTAAACAAGATGCCAATCTTTTTGCAAGAGAATTCTAAGAAGGGTAGCTTTATTCTACAAGAATCAGTTTGATGTATGTCAGTGCAGCTGATAACCATGATGAAGCTGTGGTTGCCTTCTACAGCTAAAGAACAAGATCAACTAGAAACAGCTCACCATCAAAACGAAGCCCAGATGATTCAGCAGGTTGAAGTAAGCCATCAACCATCCCACCAAACACATACAGATTCCATCCAGAATGATCTACACAGGCTCGATGGAATGATCGACAGTTAGGTTTGTAGCCCTTTGCCTTGAGCCCCTTCCACATTCCCGTGAATAATGGTTTCAATTTCAATGATGCGGGTTGCACTCTAATGGAAGGAATTTTATTGACATCCAAAACCCAGAAATCATCCTTCCTGTGCCTACACGAGTCTTCCCCTCCGTAGATTAGCACCTTGTCTCCCAAGATGAGTGTAGCCGAGTGACCAACTCGAGGTAGGGAAGCTCCTTTTGGTACGTTCCATAAGTCGTAGAGTATTTGTATCCATCTTGGATGATCCTCATTCATCTCCAATAACCAAATGTCATTGAGAACATCATAACCCAACCCTCTCCCTCCAAACAGAACTAACTGGGCTTCTCTGATGCATGTCAGAGTATGTCCTGACCGTGCTGGAGGTGATGGACTTGTCACAATCTGATGCCATGTTCCAGACTGAAGACTTTCAGAGAGCTCTAGAACCCATGTGTCATCTAACCTGACGCCATGCATCCCAATCCCTCCGTGAATAACCATCTTCTGGTTATCAATACAAGATGATGCATGCGCCCCACGAGGAGGTGGCACAGACGATACAACATCAAGCAGCCTCCATGACAATGTGATGCCAAAGTTATCATGGCCTGATACTTGCCCCACCCATGTATCATTTAGGCGATCTCCTCGGTCATTGATTCCTCCGAACAGAACAAGATAATTGTCAATTACAACACATGTATGCCCAAATCTCCCACTCGGGACACCTGATGTAACTTTCTGCCACTTCAACATCCTCTGGAAATCCTTACCAGTATGTGCTACCCATGTGTCATCAAGATGACGTCCTAAAATGAAAAAGAGCTCACTTCAGAAAATAATTTTCTTACATATTTAAAATTTTATCAGATTGCTCCTAACACAACTAAAATTACCTTTACAGAATTTTTTCAAAGGCTGTTGACAAAGCTGGTAAAGCTCCTTTTATGGTAATTAAGTAAACCTTTCTAGTTTTCTTTTGAAACACACTTATGAAGGAAAAAGAAGGGTTCCTATTTAAACTGAATCGGTATTTCCAGAACCTGTGTGATTGATGGTAAACTTTATAATCCAGTGGACAATCCATGTTCATCATGAAGAAAGAAAGCTGAGAAGGGTTACCTTTTTGAAGTTTTTTCAACATTTACTAAGATCAATCAACATGTAGAACTTCCCAAGCTTGTTCCTCTTTCTCATTCAATCTATCCCTTACTATAATTTTTTCTATTTAATTCCTAAAATATCTTAATACATAGACTTCATTATAACTTTTGTATTTGTATCCATTCCATCTTAACTCATCTCATAAAAAATAAAAATAATCGAGAACAAAAAATAAAAACTTACCTGAGTAGGCATGAAGAATCTATTTCCAAGAATCAAGCTAGGCTGGAATTGATTCGAGCCTTACTATTTTTTTTTAAGTAAAACTGTAAAATTGTATTAAAGAATCCATGGTAAATTCGGGCCTCACCATTATTACCTAAAAAAATGTTAACCCAAATATTTTTCGAAATTGAGGAAATCTAATAGGAATTATAAATGGACCATCCAGTTCTTTTCCAAGTTGAATAGGATACCGCTTGGAAGTATGCAGCTCTGCCCCTGATTTCTAGAAGGATGCATAATGAGAACAATAAATCACATTTTGTTGTCAGCACCGATGAAGAAAAATCAGCTATCAGACATTTGTCTTCTTGGTTCTTTCTTCTTATATATATGTGTTCACACTTTTTACTTACACTTATCGAGTTGGTTGTTGCTTAGAGAATCATTGATTGATACCCATTCTTAGCAATAGAAGTTTCATGAAGTCTATTCATTCATGGAGATAATTTTTTTTTTTTTCGAAATAGAAATCTAGAATTGCATTAAAAATCGGAACCAAGGAGACATCACCCATGTTCAAAAAATTTACATGTCAATGAGCATTCCCAAAGATAATAAATGTTCTTGAGGTTACTGGGAACGAGAAGTGATGGTCCGCATATCACTCTATTTCCTCTACATTTTATAGTCTTTACTTCCCCACATTTTTATATCTTTCCAGGACCTTTCATTAATCTCTCTACATTGAAGCCCCCACATATCCCAACAACAAAACCAATGCACAGTGTGCCCATAATTTCTATTGAATCCTTTTTCCTATTGAAGGAAACCAAAAGAAAAATCTTGAACCTAAACCTAAAAGTTGAGAGGATAACAAAAAAGTGATTGTATTTTAAAATGTGTTACCAGGGGCTACAGTGGCAGACTCTAACCCTTTGGTAGAGATGGTAGGTGTGACAACGATGACGATGGTGACATAGTGGTGGTCACTGAGGCAACAGCAATAATAGTTGCATAATAGAAGTGGAACTGCCATTAGTGAGGTTAATGGGATTCAATAATGCAATGCCAACTTTGATGGGCATAGGTAGTGGAAATGAAGTGATAGTGGGAATAACGATGACAATAATGGTAGTGTTTGTGACAACTACAATAGTTAGGGTGGCGGCAGCGGCAGCGGCAGCACAACAGTGAGAATGAGGGTGGTGATAATGGTAGCCAATGATGAGAGCTACAGAAAAGGCGGGCATCATGGCAATAATGAGCTGGTGGTAATGGTGCCAGGGATGGGGATGATAGGGCGGTGATGATGGCAACAACACTAATGGTGGTGGCAACAATTGTAGGTCATGGTGACAGCAGCAGGAGTAAGGGTGGTGGTGTTTGATGGCGACAATAGCGGCAGAAGTGGTAGTGGCAATAGGGCTGATGGCGGCTGTTGCATTACTCTTGTTAAGGGATAGATACGGAAGGAAAAATGATAAAATATCATCTTAAGAATTACCCACCTTAGCTTAGGTAGCGTTTTATCCTACCTATTAAACGATCTATTCTCAAATATCAGGAATCATGGATACGGTTGTTTGATATGTTTGGTTTTGATTGGATCATGCCTCTGTTTCAATCAGATCATACCTCCCCCTTTAGAGCATTTAATGAATTCTACTCTTCCTGGCGAAGGGGTGAGAAAAGTTATTAAACCTCTATAGCAGGGTGCTTCATTTGCAGGTTTATAGAGAATATAGCTAGAAAGGCATCAAAGGATTTTCAAAGACTCAATCTTCCTTATCCAATGTATGTGGGAGAAGATGACATTCTTGGCCTCATACGGCCAAAAGAAAGGAAAATTTTCCATATCTCTATCTTCATTCTTTATAGGAGCCGGAGGTGAATATTCTGATTTATGAGAGTCAGCTTGTTACTTAACTTTGTAAGTTATTGTTGGTTTCTGAGTTCTTCTCAGTGAAAGCTTCAGGAGGGATGTCTTATTTTCCTCCACTGCACATTATCTCTTCTCATTCCTATAATGCTTCTTTTTCTATTGACAAAAAAAGGCCTACTCACCCCTTACTCTACCCTACCCAATGTACCAAACATATGTCAAGGGTTTTAACTCGTTAAGCATTCTGGTCAATGGCTTGCAATGTTCATGGCTCAGTCCAATATGGTAAGGATAACTTCTGACACGAAAAAAGGAAAAAAAAAAATCAAAATTCATTTTTTCTTCAGCAGTATCCAAATTCAAAAATACATATGATCAAGTCGTCCAAGTAATCAAGCCTAAAGTCCTAATTCCTGGAGCAATTACAAGACAACAAGGATGATGATCTACATATTTGCACCAAACTTGAAGTGATAGTGCTTGGGAAAGGTTTCTTTGAGCTATAAGGTTGTATATATAGGGAAAGGTTTTCTTTGAGTTATAAGGTTGTATATATATACACATTTTGACTATAAAGTTAAGAACAAGTAACAAAACAGATAACAGAAAAGTTTGAAAATAAAACTATAACTAACGCAACTATACCGGCAAATTGTTATGATAGAATAAGGAGGGTTATTCCGTTTGCTCTCTCGCAAGGTACAGCATGAAAGTTGAAATTCCAGCTTCCTAAAAATGGACCAAAACTGATCTTTGTTTCATGCATTAGTAAGGAGTTGGTTTTAACTGGAAATAGGTCTAACTTGACGAGGAGCAAATTGCAGTCTCTCTCAAATCATATGGCAGTCAATATCTATGTACTTGGCACACTCACCAAAGACAGGACTTGTTGTCATGTGCCTTGCAGCTTGGCTGTCACAATAGGAAGGAGTTGGAGTAAGTTGAGCACCAAGATCAGCAAGAAAGTATGAGAACCGAATAACTTCTTTGATGGTGGAAGCAATAACACCATCTTTAACTTCTACTGAAGATTGGGGGACCGATTTCACTTCTTGCTCTTGCAAGGTACTCAATTATCCAAGGAATATACAGTAACCTAAGGTGGAGCAACGGATCAAGGGACAACTCACCTTGTCAAAGTCATTCTAGCTATGAGTGTACACAAGCCATAAGCTAAAAAATAATTCCTTGACCAAGCACTATTTAAGGACCCTAGGATGCATCCAGCAGCAGGTACATGATGTTGTCTAGGTTGATGCACAAACTAACTTAACTGATTTACTGCAAAGGAAATTTCTGGAGCAGTGATCCTATGGCATAAAAATGCTGTACCAAGCAATGATAAGTCGAAGGATTCAAAAGCAAATCACCATCATTGCCGTCAGTTTGATGTTTTGTCCCACTGGAGAAGTTGTTCTCCATGTACCAAGACTTTATTGCTCAATAATTACATCTAAATGACATCTGATTTTGTACATTCATTTGCAAACAATAGGGTCCCTACTAATAGGAAGCACAACCAAGCACGATATCACAATGTCATTTAAGGCAGGGAGTTTTTTTTGCATTGACCTCTCTAATTTCAAACTTGTGCAACGTTTTTGAAAGGATGTAATTCTTCAGCAGAGATGAACATGGTGGCGGGTTATCTGTTAATCTGCCCAATCTGGAATGGGTAAAAACCTATAATTAATGGGTTATAGACGGGTGTCAATAGAAAGTTATTAATTTCAAACGAGTATAGGACAGATATTAATTAAATCATATACCTACCCCAACCCCACCCTGGCCTGCATATAATTAACAAATTTATCATTTTATTTTTAATTCTACTCAAACTAACCAAATTTTGATTAATAAATATTTAGTATTGTAGTTTTATGATGTTATTTTATATTTATTAGTAAGTATATTATATTTAAATATTATTTTATATTATATTTTGTTTTAATGAACATTTATGATTTTTGTAATTAAGCTTTCATTATTTACTCAAATATTCTATAAAAAATTTTTAAGATTCAAAAGGGGTAAATAGGGAGAGTGGCAGGTAGAAAGTTTTACCTATAGCTAGTTGCGAGTAAAGAACTTTCTACCTAATCTAGGTATAGGATGGTATAAGTTTATATTTTTACTAGTTAAGCAGGTATGGAAATGGACATACCCGCCTCATACCCACCTTGTGCACATCTTTATTCTCTAGTAAAGGATCTGGCAATCAGAAAAGAATGATGAGGAGCAAGAAATGAAGAAAATGAGAGACAATTATTCAGGGGATAGACAATACTTGCCAGCGAGGATGCTTTCATGGTATGGGCATGAAAATAGACATAATCTCACATCCTAGATGACAATCTTATGTGTCTGCTAGAGCAGCAGGGACATGAGTTGGTGATTGGGTTCTTATGCGAACAGCTTGTGGCAGAGAATCGGAGTCAGCCAAAATTCATGAGGGAAGAACTAGAGGAGGGTGGGATTTTGCATTGCAATATAATCTCATGAAAGAGAACATCCTTACTCACATTGAGGTTTGGGGTAAGTATATTGAGCATTTTGTAACCATTTTGGCTAAAGGGGTACCCTAAGAAAATAGCAGGAGAAGCTTTTTTGTCAAATTTTTAGTGCACAATAGGGTTTCTACCAAAAACAAGACAATCAAACAGAGGTAGAAACAATGCCTCACATGTTGTCGTCATCTGAAGGACCTTTTTGGTACAAAGTT